CGCGGGCCATTGGTGGCTCGCCAGTAATAATATTTGGCCCGGCAAATTATTTTGAGAATACAAATAAAATATAGTTTTTTTCTTTTTTTTAAATATCGGTCCGACAGTCACAAAAATAGGCTATAATGTCCAAATAGAGAATCTACCTACACCTGAAGAATGCTTGTTGTACTTGTATCCATGTTTAGAGTGAATGGCACAGCACAGGCACAATCAGGCAGCGGGGTGCACTGACGCTGATAGTGGATCAATAGGTGGACAGTGCGTGGTGCTGAAATAGCCAACATTCGGTGTGTGGTTTGTAAAAAATAACACCAGCTCACTAAATCATTCAAATGTAATGTTTACTTACTGTATATGTGAACACTAACAAAGTTCAGTCAAAACATTGACAACAAAATTGGAGAAGCCGCTTGATCATGGAGGGCGAGGAGTGGTGGTGCATATGCTCCTGAAACGACAGAGCAAACACGCTACATTAGGGATAATAATTACAATTAGCCATTCATTCAAAAATATAATTAGACTATTAAATACAATTACGGTACTCACTTAATATGAAAACTGACATCTCCCATCGGTCGCTATTTTTTGGATATCTGGTGATATGGACGTCACTTTAATCCGCAGGCAGTTCTCAAGGTTTTTATGCGTCAATCGATTCCTCTCGCATTCATTGAAGAAAAGGACGACTTGCATGTATAGGTGGAAGGGAACATTGTGAGCACATAAAATGTGAGTCTCTTGATCGTGCTATACTCCTCTGAGCTTCCCACCCAAAAGGCTCTCACAGACTCCGCGCTTCTGAGCGCATCGCTGACCAGGAAGCTTGTTTGAAAATCAATTAGCTCCATTTCTAATGCAGCCTCGTCTAAGGAGGGCATCATTTGTTTCGCCTGGGAGGTGAAGTCTCCACTTGCTTGAACTGTGAGAGGATCACGTACAAAGGCAATGATGTCTTTTGGGATGGAGTAGTCCTCAAACCTTGACGTGAAGTTGGCCCGTAGCTGCTTGATGAAGTCCACCATCAGCTCTGTCACTTGTCCCAGTGCCTGTGATTTTAGTGTACTGACACTGACTGGACTTGTCGGTGGCCAGTTCCTCCAAAACGGTCACCATCACCTCCTTGAAAACCTCTGCGTCGGTGAATGGCCGGTTGTGCTTTGCGAGCACCCACAACGCCTTTAGGGACGCAGTTGTCACTTTCTGTTGGGCTGTGAGGCCTCGCACCAGGATCCTGCTGCTGTGTGCATAACCTGCTGTCAGTGCTTCAATCTTGCGCTTTCGTGCCTCTGTCTTGGGTGGAAAGGCCACTTTGAAGGTGTCATGCTTCGTCTTGTGGTGCCGCTTAATATTGTATTCTTTGCAAGCAGCCACAACTTCATTGCAGATAAGACACAACGGCTTTGCATTGATGATACCAGGTAGGATGAATGCATAGTTTGCTGTCCAGTCCTTTTTAAATGCCCTTTTAAATTTCCTCTTTAGACCTTTGGAGAGTGACATTACTGCTTTGGATTACTGGTCTGGGGGAAGCTCGCGAGTGTGTGTGTGTGTGTGTGTGTGTTGTGTGTATGTGTGTGTGTTTGTGTATTTTTGCGTTTGTGTGTATTGTGTTGGTTTCCCGGGGAAAACACTCACAAGAAACACCGGCTGTTGTTATGCCTGCTGTGACGTCAAGTTACTCCGTTCTCCGATTTTAATTATGCCGTTACAAGCTTCAAAGCTGTATTTATCATCGGAATTTGCCGAAACAAGTTTTATATTCTGAAAGCCAATACTTTGTTTATTTGAAATCAGATGAAAACAAACTGTAACGGACCCTGCCGTGTTATCAATGATTAGCCTACTATATGCCTACATTCATAATGTCAGCGGAGGGAGGGGGGGCGGCGCTGCGGAAGAGCAGAGCGCGAGTGAGAGCTGTCATCTTCCCTTTACAAGCTTCAAACATGTATTTATCGTGTGATTTTGGAAATACAAGTTTCATATTCTGAAAGCCAAGACTTTGTTTATTTAAATCAAACAAAACACCCGAACCCCGAAAAACTAGTTTTTTACGCAAATCCACGTTTATTTTGAAATGAGTCGTTGCGACTTCCGACTGATTTCGATAGAGCGGGTCACATAAGGCAAATGTGTGGTTGTGGGGAAGCAGGTCAATTAAAGTACTTATTTAACTATTAAATACATTGAGTTTGAGTAAAATACTTGGTTACTTTATTAGGTAATGTATTAAATTGCAAAGCAAAACATGCCATTATTATTTTTTTTTTAAAAAAAAGGTTTTCAACCTGAAAGAATCCTAATGTGTCCTTGAAAAGTTGAAATAAAGAAAAGGAAAAAGGATTCGAGTCGTCCATGCGTCCTCTGTTGCCCATCGAGGCTCTCAAATGTGGGCAAACACTCAAATAAATACCAAAAACCCAGAGAACTTGACAATACTTGACAATAAAAGTATGTTAAATAACACTGCTACCTAGTTAATAACTCTACTTTACTCAGTGGAGGCTTGTCCATTGAGGAAAGGGAGGACCATCCTCCCTAAGATTTCAGAGAAAAATAAACTTTGAAGAGAACAATAAATACACCTCAATTTAAAAGATAAGTCGTATACAGATAATAGCCCTGGCTTTTAACATGGGACTGAAATGGGGCTAGAGAGGACGAGTCTCCCTTTGGGCGGGTCTAGCCAGAGGCTCTGGATTGGCCCACCACGGCCAAACTTACTTGCCTACCCCTGACTTAGGGTCTCCCATCTTTACTGGGCATACATCCGCAAAAACATAAAAAATAAATACAGTTCTTAGCAACAACTAAAACTCATGCTGTTCCCTGTCCGTGTCTACATCTTTCTACTTGTCCCCTTTAAGCTAGCCCTATCTACTTACTTAGCTAATGTGAGCTACCAAAAGATTTCTGAACAAAGAAAGTTGTTTTTATTACTTCCAACTTCTTTCTGTCATATCTAACAATGTATATATATGTTTTGCCTTTACTAAAACGATGAACTGATGAAAACAGGATTAGAATTACATTTCCAAACAGTATGCCATACAATAAAGACATTGTCCATACAACTATGTCCTTATGCAGTATAAAGAAGAACTTGAACCTAAAGAGTATAGCATCCAGTAATAATAATACTAAAATGCATAAAAGTGTACATTAACAGTTCCTATTGTAAAAGTCAGTCATATTGCAGTGGTGTAAGTCTGTATTGGTGTGTTGTCATCCCTTTTTGACCCTTCTCCTCTCTCAGGCCTTGAGCGAGATGACGGAGCTGCTCTCCTCACGCAGCAACTACATCAACTACCGGCGGCTTTACAACGAGTGCAGCGGTTTCAAGGTGCCCATCCTGGGCGTCCACCTGAAGGACCTGATCTCACTGAACGAGGCCCTGCCGAACTACATCGACCAGGACAAGATCAACCTGAGCAAACTGCAGCACCTGTACAGCAACATCAGTGACCTGGTGGCCATCCACAGCTGCACGCCTCCCTTCGAGGCCAACAAAGACCTCCTGCATCTGCTCACGGTAGGAGACAGAGACCCAGAGATAATTTACTTTTATAGAATTCGGATTTGAAACATTTGATCAGGACGGGCATGTAGCCAAAAGCGCTCAATGCCGTGTAATGTAATGTTCTTTTATTGCTTCAGCTCTCTTTAGATTTATACTACACCGAGGACGAGATATATGAACTTTCATACAACAAGGAACCCAGAAACACCAAGATCCAGGTCAGTAGAGCTGCACACTCCTTCTCTTTGAAGCTTTATCTAACGCCATCAGGCTCACACTTCTCTCTTCACAAGAAGAGGGTGTGCTCTCAGTGGGAGTAAAATCTTCGTCAAAACAAAAGCACAGACTCGTTGCTGAAACACATCAAAAATCAGCCACATCAAAGCGCTGCAGACGTTAGGGAAGCGTGTTATGTGGTGGGTGTGCTCTTTCTTTTTCTTCTCGTTTCACATGTGCAGTTCTTCGTGTCTCACCACTGCATGTGTCACTCCACAGCCCGTCGCTCCGGTGAAAGCGCCCGTGGTGGCCGAGTGGGGGTCAGGGGTCACCCCCAGGCTCGACCCTGACACCATATCTAAACACGTCAAACAGATGGTGGATGTGAGTGTGTGACTCTGCAACAACCTCCTGTTTTTCACTTCCTTATTACATGGCAGGACAAAGCAGAACTAACCAACTGCTCCTCTACTGTTTCAACTGACTGTCTGATTGCTCTGTCGCCCCCTGCAGTCCATCATGAAAAACTACGACCAGAACCAGGATGGATACATCTCGCTGGACGACTTTGAGAAAATAGCAGCCAACTTCCCCTTCTCCTTCTGCACTCACGAAGCTGACAGGTGAGGAAGGGCATCTCGCAGTGACGCGGTCGGATGTAAAACCACAAATCAGCATGAGCTGTTTGTAAAAAAACTACCTCACTTTTTGTTGTTACATTTTGGGGAATTTTCTGCCCAGGGAGGGAGAAATCAGCCATGAAGAAATCACCTCTTACTTCATGAGGGGAATGTCGATATGTGCCAAGCTGGGCTACAGCTTCAATACGCATAACTTCCACGAAACCACGTACAAGCGGCCAACGTTTTGCGAGAATTGTGGAGGCTTTGTGAGTATCCGTTATATCCTTTTTTTCTTTTTAAATGGCCAAATCAAACTGAAGTGTGACATGTGTCCTGTCTGTTCTCTTGTAGTTGTGGGGAGTCATCAAACAAGGATACCATTGTAAAGGTAAGATCAAAATCCATAATTTCATACGTCCACAGAGTTATCAGCTGTAATGCTTTTTGTATTGTCCATGTCTTTTCCTTCTCTCAGACTGTGGGATAAACTGCCACAGGCACTGTAGAGATCTGGTGGAAATAGCTTGCTTAAAGAAACATAAAAACACCACCGGGTCGTGCCCCTGCACCCCAGCTCCCGACACCAGAATCAAGGGTAACACCTGGAGTAAGTCCTTTCTCTATCGTACGCACAAAAACATTCCCTCTCTATAAAATGACCTCGACACTGAAGTCTTTATGTTTTGTTCCCTAGCAGATATAGAAGAGGAGGCCTTTGTCTTCCCCCAAAGTAATGAGACAGAAAACCACCAGGGCACCGCTCTTTGGAAAAGCAACAGCAGTGATTCCACGTCGTCTGACTGCTCCACTCAGACAGACCCTGGAGTTTGGACCCCCGAGAAGAAGGACAGGAGAGGAGTCCACCACAACTCGCTTGTTCACACATCCCCAGAGAGAAAGAGGAGACAGGACATGAGTCCCTGCAAGGTGGGTTTCTCTGTTTTTGTGTAGCTTATAAATGTCAGCATGTCAGTATGTCAGTCTAGATCTCTGGAGTGACTCAATGTGTGAGCCGGCTCAAAGAGCTCAATGTATTGAGCTCAACATTGAGTGATGCATGTCATACAGTGACATGTAATATCCAAGGATTAGAGACTGTTGGATGCTGCTGTTTTGAGCATTGCAATATATTTATTTTCATTATGTTATTTATTTATGATTATTTTTAGGCTCAGCAAAGATTTGTTGTCAGTTTGTATAAGTGTTGCTATCTTCTTCTTTTTTTGCGTGGTTCTACAATCAGAGAGTTACAAGGGTCTGTAAATGCAATGATTTAAGTGACATATGTGTACGCATATAAATCATTAGTCAGAACAGGGCTACATTTCATTGAATTATAAAAGGTATATTTCGCAGATAAACCTATTAACCCCGCCCCCTTAAAAAAAACGTCTCTTTTGAACGGCTCTCGCAAAGGAGTGGAGCCATAAGATCCGGCTCCCTTCAAAGAGCCGTAATTCCCATCACTAGGGGCTACAACGTTAGAGCTCCCAGCAGTGATTCACTTTAAGCTGCTATTACAGGAGATATACATGCGGATCACCAATACTGCTTACTGTCAAGCACATTGTAAAATATGTAGCCTAGGTTAAATTCATTTGGTGAAAATGAACAATTTTGCTGTTATTTGAAAGTCATTTAAAGCGTGTAACAGAGTGATGTAGTGATGACGTATTTTGGTAGACCGACCTGGAAGTTAGCATTACAAGCGCTCTTTTCACAAAATGTAATGGGATTTATCCACTGGATTTTGGAAAAAAGCTCCACATATTAACAGCATTATTTTTGAAGAGTAAATGCAATCGTCAGATGTAAAAAGCTAATGTTTGGCTATAAACAAACTCTGTCGCATGCTGTGCATCACCACTGCTAAGCTAAAGGCAGCTAATGATCAACGTGATCACATTTAGTAATATTTAGTCACAACCGTTTTTGTGACACAGTTGCCGTGTTCACCACAACACCCTTTATTGCAGACATCTAACCAAAATCAGATAAAAAAACAATGATGAAGTCCGGGATTGGTCAAATGCAGACTCATTTCCGAGTTTTAGGACTCATTACTGCACCACTGTGTATTTGTCAAATCTTTGTATCATTATCACACATTTCAAATGATTTTGATATCATGAGTTCCTGTCTCAACTAGTGTCAAATGAGACACTGATATCCCACTTGAAAGTGAAATGTTGTTTCTGCAATTAAATACGTCTTTATTTGCCTTATCTGTTTTCCAGGTGAACTCACAGAGAACCCGGGGGTGCTCCATGCCTGTTTCCTTCTTGCAGGAGAAGATGGAGGAGATGCATCTCTACAAAGACAAGAGCAGAGAGCCAGACTGAGCGCTCCACCTCCAGAAACATTTCCCACTCATGGACACAAAAACATCCAGACAGCACCGCCTTTCTGACCAAGCTGTCTGATGGTGTTGAACTGATGAACTTTCCGTTAGCATCAGAATACCAGCGGTCATATGAATGGACTCCATCAAATATGGTTGTCTTTATTATTTGTTTTTTGTCCGCCTTGTTGGTTTTGCTTTTTGATCATCTTACTGTAATTCATTTTGTTTAGGTGCCTTCCTTCACTGGTGCTAAGACTGTATAAGGCCACTTATGATAACAGACATAAGGGTCCTATTTACACAAAATATACACAGGGTAGGAAATGAACACTAAGCTTTACATTTGGCAACTTTACTACAACTCTGCTCATGAATTCGGAAAGTAAGCCAGAAAAACATTAACATTTGTTTGTTGAGCCTCAGGTTGGGTGATTTGAAAGGATATACATGAGACTTTGTGCGGAAATTGCTATCCCGTGTATGAGTTACCATCTATTTCACTTCCTGGAAACTAAACCAAGAAGCTAACATAAAATGGAAATGTCAAGACAGGTCATATCCGTAAAATCCAGTGGATGAGGCTCATTTGCTATATTGAGAGATAAGTAAATGACTCGTATGGTGACCATGTCACCCCCCCCCCCCCATGAGACATGATGTCATAACTCCAGTGGACATGCTCCAAACAGCCCAACAAATGATTGTTAAACATTGTGCCCTAAAAAGCTCTACAACACATCTGAAGCGTCATCATATGCCATTTCCATGGCGACGCATTACTCGCCCTGAAACCCAATATTGCTGTTATCTCCAGTGGACATGGAGCAGTTGCCACAAAACGTGACGTGTTTTAGTAGTCCACGCCAAGAAGCTTTGTACGCCGAACTCTTTAAGGTGGAAAAACGTATAATTTATTATAAAATAGAAGGACAACACTCCAATTAAGAGGTGTGTCATGATCAAAGAAATCCTAACGTTTTAGTAAAATAAACTGCGGAAGTACTGTTCGTTTTGTGGTTACATATTCAGGAAGAGTTGATCAACATTTTTAATTGCTACCAGCAAAATGTAAAACGATGTATGCTATGAAAGACTTCGTCCATATCGCCAACCCTTTGTTTGGTTAGCAAAAAGACCTTGTGAAGTGTGACCCATAAAGCACTGAAACTAGCAGCGGAAGACGTTTATTTCCTGCCCTGACGACATTTTTGACTTTCAAATGTCAACAGTTCATTCAAGGTTCAGCAGGATTGCACTGGGACTATGTGTGTGCTGCAAAATGTGCATTTTTACTATTAACTAAATGCTTTCTGTTTGTCCTTTGTCCAAAATGTAAATCTTGTTGAAAATAAGAAAGATACACCAACTGTGATGCAGTGTGTTTTGTTTGAGTGAAAAAAATGACACCTCCAGGCGTATACAATGGCATTTTATTGTATAAAGACAAGAAGACAGCTCGGGTAACTGGTCAATATCAGATTTTCAGGTAGAAAAAAAATCACAACTGGATTTAAACTACTGGACAGCGATCACAAAGGGGTAAAAAAAGAAAACTGCACAAACTACGCAAGAGTGGCCAAATATTCTTCCCAATCAAAGACTGGATTAAATACTACAGTATCACACCTATAAAAAATATTTGGATTTTATCGGGATAAATACAAATGTGCCAGCTCGGAAACTGAAAAAAGATAGAGCGAGACGGAGGGAAGGGGTGGTGAAGGTAAAAAGCATGCATTTTTGTTCTTTGTTAAGCTTTCTCAAAACAAGCGAAATTATTTAGGCCTTGCTGTATTTTTCCTGCCACACGATGCATCCTAGAAGTATACAATTACCTCTCTGATCTGTTGGAAAATGTGGACGTCCATATTAAATTCATAATAGATAACATTCATTAAATGTTTGGATACCTATCATCTACCAACTCACGGTCACTGCGTAGAGTAAGACTTCATTCAGTAAAAAAAAGACATCAAACTGCATACAGTTTTAGGTGTACACTGATTGGTGGAATGAAGACAGATGTTTGGGGACTCGATTTGTGGGACTGTACAAAATCCATTTAGCTGCAGAGGTCAGAGTGTTTAGGACGCGGGTGGATGCAGGACAGATGCAGGGTGGAGCTACTGGGAGCCGGAGGAGCCCTGGCTGCCCTGTCCAGGGTAGCCTCCGTACTGGCTGTAATACTGGTTCCACTGGTTCTGGTTCTGGTAATACTGCTGCCACTGCTGAGCATACTGCAGGGAGGAATAGAAACAGTATTCAGAACATGTTTACTTTCTGCTTTTTTATTTTATTTGACCCCATATTTGACACTTACTGACCCTGTGTTCCTAACTCCCTTTGGGTTCACAAGGTCAGTTGTATAATCCTCAGATGTATGTCTTCTAACCAAACCCAGTATCCTGTGATTAGCATGCAGGGCTAACCTTGCTACACCCAAATTCAAGCTTTTGAGATGTAGTATAATCTTTTGTTAACATGTATATTTAAAAAATGCAGGATAGAAAATGGAAAGGTGTGCTGTATTGTACTGCCATAACTATTTAGAATGTGTTACCATAAAGTCCCCACACTGATCAATTGTGAGCCCACAGCTGCTGTCAATGAAGGCAAGACATTATTTTATACTACCTAAACCAATTTTTATTGCAATTGCGATATGATGCGGATATTATAGGGAATTAAACATTTGCATATTATGATAACATTTTAAAATATATTAAAATGATCACAGGGTGATATTGTAAAAGTGGATGTGTACAAAAGAAGGATTTTTTTATTAAGTGTGTAGAATGCGGTTTTGTGGGCCTAGAATAATCAATATTTTTTATCAATTATTCTGCTTACTGCAATTTGAATATTGCACTAGTCCATAGTCCAATTGTGCAGCCCTACTCTTTTTGTTACTATAAAATGGGTATCCAGCCAACAGTTTTTCTAGTACCCCATCTCTTCGACTACAGACAGTGTAGCGGGTGGAGTTGGTGCCTACCTGCTGGTACTGCTGGTTGTAGCTCTGCGTCTGTTGCTGCTGCTGGGGCTGCTGCGCAGGCGGCGGCTGCTGCTGCTGCTGCTGCTGTGCTGGCGCTGCCTGTGGGGGCTGCTGGTGGTGATGATTGTATGTCTGTGCAGTGGTGGGTGTCTGGCTGTAGCTCTGGCTGTATCCTGGGTACTGACTGTAGTTGCCATAGTAACTCTGGTTGTAGCTGCCCTGATTGTACCCTTGATTGTAGCTCTGGCTGTAGCCCTGGAAGTTAAAGAGAATTAGATTTAGGAGAATACATTGATATAATGTTAAGTGTAAATTGTTGTTTAGATCGAATAGATAACATTTCACGTTAGCTACCTGGCTGTATGCTCCCTTGTTGTACGGAGCGGGGCGGTTGTAGCTTCCTGTTGCAGGCTGGCTACGGTTGTAGCTGCTACGTGCATCAGAGCCGGAGTCGCGGTTTCCCCAACGGTTCTGGTTATAGCTGCCACGATTGTTGCCTGCAAAAACACAAAAATGCTGTTACTATAGGAATATACATATCTTAGTGTAAAATACAAAAAAATCCATCCTTCAAAGTCTTGTACAGAGTGGTACAGGAATGAGTCCTAAAACCCAAGAATGAGTCAGCATTTGACCACTTTCTGTTCCCTGGTCTCCAAGTCAACGGTCCATCAGCTTTTTAGATTCCTGAAAAAGCATCTGATGTTAACACAAGCTGAAGAGATTTTCACGTTTTGTTCTACGACATTAAATACATCAGTAAATACCCCAGCGGAAATGCATCATAATCCCTGCACCACTCTCTTTTCACGCTTTCGCCTCTTGTGTATCCATGAACTCAAATCACAGCATTCTGACTGCAGCTTCATGGACATACACACACCGCTCGGCTCACCTCTGTATCCACTGCCTCCGTCCCCACTGCGGTTCTGGTAGCCGCCACGGGACCCTTCGCGGTTGTCGTACCGCTGGAAGCTCCCGCCCCCGCCCCCGGTGGCGCCGCGGCCCCGGAACCCGCCCGGCCTGTTGTCGAAGCGTTTGTCAGGGGGCGGGCCGGCCTTGCGGCCCTCCTCGTTGTACTGCTTCAGCAGAGTTTCTGCCTCCTCACGCTGCAGCTCAGCAAACGTCACATCCTCCAGGAAGTCGCAAGCCTCTGGGACAGTGAAGTTGGCTTGTGGGGGGTGACAGAGGTGACCACAGGAGGAGAGAGAGACAGTCCATCCGGCACAGGGACGGATGGAGAGGCGAGGAGAAGAGAGAGAGGGGGAGGGGGTTGTAGTGAAGACCAGAGCAGCCACACCACCGGAAGACAAAACGGAAAATAATTAGGACCGAACAGAGGCAGCAGGACTCAGAGAAATTCAGAGCAGGTAGATGACAGCAGATGGCGGGGGGTAAAGGGGACTAACATGACCTCCGGGGGAAGATGGAGGACACATTTGATGAAGCAGACGAAGGAGAGGGAGGAGCTCAGGAGAGGTGGGGAGGAGGGACAAAAAGGAACACTAGAAGGTAGGTAAAGAGGAAACGGCACTGCAAACCAAGGACAGCTGATGTAATGCTGTTACAAATGAACTTCCAACAACTTCAGCACGTGACTGCTTGTAAGTTTGTTATTTGGAAATGTCGTTTTTCGGGGAAGCAAATTGTGCAATGTTAGCGTTTAGCTATTACATGACCTTTACGAGGCCCGTGGCTCAGTTTGCAGTGCGTCAGTAGTAAGCGGGTGGCAAAAATAAGGAAGAATCAAATTCATGTGGACTGTTAATAAATAAAATGTCCAAGGTCTGATATCTGGCCAAAGGCTATGATTGGAGAGGGAGGGAGGCAGGGAGGGAGGAAGGGAGGGTCATCTTCCAAGTTTGATTTTAGAGACAACACATAGAAAAGTAAAAAAAGTAGATCTGGTGTTTTTGTTTTGTTGTTTCCACAGCGTTCCTACCTTTCATTTCTAAAACAGCATGATCGGGCACATCCTTCCCCTGCTCATTGGTTTGCTTTAATGTTCGTTCTTTTAAATCCTCGTCCGTGGGACAAATTACAATAGCCTTGCGTTGAAAACCTTCAAAAGGACGCATTTTTCGTCTCCTTGCTGATCCATATACATTTGTCTAGCAATGGTGACAAGAAAGAAGTAGAAGCTTGTTTGTTATTGTTTACTTGTACTGGCTTTCCACTGGAAGGAAGCTGGAACCCTGCAATAATGAAGTGAGAGAGGTTTGGCTTGGATGTCAAGTCTACGCTTTTTACTGAAAGTTCTAATGGCCTCTCGTCACTCCACAGACTTACCTCACACTCTGCCAAACAGCAACACAGTGGCTTCTGGGGGAAGAGGACATACTGACACAAAGAGGGACCCCACAATATCCTGACTGTCCCGTTCATTAGCTCAAGTTACGCAACAACAGACATACAAGTTTCAGATCAACCATACAAAATTAATATTCAAATGGATATTCAAGTGCTTACTTAATAATGCCTTTGTGCAGTGAAAATGTTCTTCTTGTAACTATGTTTAAGAGTTATTACTGTATTATATGATAAGCAACTACTCATGTAAGCGTTTTGCCCACTACCTCAATTTAAATAAATGTGCCATGCACTTGCAGAACGTGTAAAGTGTGTAAAGATTAAAAATTAACATAGTTCAGTAATTCAGGTTCAGAACCAGAATACTGGTTCAAATTCTTCGTATATCACTTGATAAAAGAGGAAGAAATATGGCTAAAGCAAAAACAAAACGTGCAATTTAGGTGTTAAACTTATATTTTGCCATTAGATGATTTTTACTGGTCACATTGTGAAAACTATGAATACTATCTTTTCATGCAATACTGGCCATTACTGGGGAATATGATAACTGGGAACAAATATGTTGAATAAAATCAAGTCCATCAAAAAGATACTTAGCTAACACTAGCCGTTATCCAGACTCACTGCCTCCCTCACCAGGAACGGCTGGTTCCAACACTCACCAACATTTAGCATTTTAGGGTTTCAGAAAAGCAATTCTTTAGTAATGGCAAAACGACTTAAAACAATATAATAATATTAGAACATAAGAAAAATACAGTATAAGTAATGCCAAATACTTCTTTCATAACATCGACAAACTTGTGACAATTCTTACTTTTTACAGGAAGATTTCTCTTTCTAAAAATAGAAAAAAGCAAAGGTTTTAGCACGGAGAGTCCAACACTTATCTACAGTAGCTTATGTCCAAACCTTGCTTTTCTAAAGGGTCCCCCACACTTACCCGCACTTACCTCATCTTCATACGTTCTCTAGTCCCAGTGAACAATAACACACAGATAAAACCTACCTGCTTGTACTCACATTGTCCTCAGATAAAAGAATGTCCGCCATGAGACCCACCTACCTTTGTCACATTAGCAGAACACAAGCGTCTAAAAATCTGAAAATGGTTAGTCATTACTTACCTTCTGGGTCAATTTATTAAAAAACACACTCAACAGTTCCATGTATCTCACTTCAAAATAGCTTTTAAACAAAGCCTGTCTTATTAAATTAGCAACGGAAGGTGTTTTTCTTACTCACCAGTCAGAGCTTACTTGTTTCTCAACATCTTTACATAGTCATGGTTTACTTGTACATTGTTGAAATTCACAACACAAACAATACTGTATTATGACAAGAGGTAGCAGATATACTGAGAGATGAAAAACATGGAGTATTCTGTCACTTATGAGAGCCATTCAGAATTTTTCCTTTACAATACATGACAAGCAAGTGACAAGAGGGTGATCTTCTACTCTATAATACACACAGCCCCCCTGAAAGATAAATAAATAGTCCATTAGAGAGAGTGATCATCAGGGCACATAGACTGACTGTGGCGACTATCAGAGCAGAGTGTGGGTGGGAGGGCAGTACCTGATCCAGGATGTAGTTGCGTCTCTTGCGGGCGGCGATCTCGATCAGCCTGTTCAGGCACTGCGTGGCCTGCTGGATCAGAACGTCCCAGCGGCCCGAGTAGTTCTTCTGCCGGCGCAGACCCATCACCTGCACAGCAAACGCTCAGTTAATACAATGCACTGGAAAACCGTGTGAATGTTTGTGTAGTTTCAGGGGGGGTCTCTCAACCGACCTTCATCTTGTCCATGATGGCATTTGTGCCCAGGATGTTGTACTTCTTCTCAGGGTTAGTCTGTGCAAACTTTGTGGCCCAGGTGGTCTTTCCGCAGGCAGGCAGGCCGACCATCATCAAGATCTGAAACAAAGAACATCATGCTTTACTCCATTTGAACAAATCCTCTTGAGAATCAATACAAAATAAACCGATCTAAAATTAACAACAAAGCGTTCTTTTGGGCTGCATGAGTTCTGTATACATATCAATCACAAATGTAAGTGAGCAACATTGCTTCATATCTTTCGACAATTACAGCCCTAAAATTATATAAAAATATATAGAATTTCTTAATCTCTAAAAAGGAAAGTCTTGATATTGTCTATACATGTCAAGTACACCTTTACTTTTAGAACTGAAATACAGCATTTCCTTAAGAAAGCTAAAGTAAACAAATGATGGACAGAATGTGGTCAGTAGGCGAGGGTACAGGTAGGCCTGTCGCGATAAGCAATTCATTGACTTATCGTACGATAAATTAAAAGGAACTCGATAACTTTTCTGACTTCGATAAATTGCCGTTTACATGCGTGTTTGTTTACCAGCATTTTAGCCAGGCACGCTGTGTCTGCCGGCGCCGTGAGGGGCAGGGCTCACACACAGCCAGGTCAGGACACTCCACGTGCAGCTGTGTAGCAGCCAAATGAATAATATAGAGACCAGCAGGAGACAAAGGGCCCACCTCAGGTCGATTAAATGGAATCCTTGCGTCCCTCACTTGCGTCTTTTCCCTGCGTTTAGTCCCTCCCTCCAGGGAAGCATGGAGAGATGCAAGGAAACCACGAGAAGCAGGGAAATGAGTTTTAAGAGCAACGGGACGTCCTTTCCTCCGGAGCGTCACGTGAAGCGACGTCCGTTTGTGATGACGCTGCACAGCTGATCGTCTGACAGCAGCTCTGTCCCCGTTATTTCCACAAACACCCCCGCCTCTGTTAGTACACATTTACTGACACAAACATTTGTATCATCTGTTGTAGACCCAAATAAATACAAATAAAATAAGAACTTATTCTCAAAAAAGATAAACGCCATTCTTAAAATGTATAAACGAACGATAGTTGGATTAATATTGATTAGAGTGCACAAAATAAATAAAATAATTGAGAGAAAAAAAAGAGATATATTATCTATCAAAACCCAGTTAGATTAACATTCATTGGATTGCACACTTTGTCTGTTTGTGTGGATATGTAGCACATTAACATTTTAATAGCACTTAATGACTGACTGAATGGAAATGACAATAAATGAAAATGTAAAAAGAAAAAAGCGATCACGAAAATGTTTCCAAAAAATGAATAAAATGATTTTTGACCACTTTGTTGTTCAGATATATCACATAAATAAATGAAACATGAATTGAAACAAAACACGGTATAAACTGAGGAGTGAGTCCCGTGAGGTTCATGTGTTTTCTTCACTCCGCTGGGAAACTGCTTTCATGTCAAGAAGCATCAGATCAGTGCATGACTGCATCGTCCAATCAGTGAGCGATACACAGTAAGGGGCTGGGCGAGTGTCTGAGGATTTCATCGGAGGATGGTCTGATGGTTCCTCGATTATAGCCTCTCCAAAATCGCTCCTCGCTCCTCCGGCAAAAATAAGGCCATTGGGACGCTACTCAAGATGGCGCAGACAAATCAACTTCCGGTGCGACCCAGACCGAGGAGCGAGGAAATGAAAAATAAGAGAAG